CTTTATCATAAGAATGTTTGCTCAATTTATTGTTTACCCAATATACCATGCACTCCTCCTCAACTTCTTTATCAATAATCGTTGGAAAAATGTATTCTTCTTTAAACTGTTGCACTTTATCTTCAACCTCATCCCAAGTTAATTTTTCGTGTACACCATCATCGCCATATCTGTTGTTGTACCTAAAAAATGCATTTGATTTGGTAAGTGTTCAGTTAGAAAACTTAATTTGTTCATAACAACAGTAAGGAAAAATTTCCAATAGTTCGCTGTATATGGTAACATAAAAAGACAAAGTATAAAAACTTCTTTTTGTAGTATATTATTTAAAAAATTAAACTTGCATAAATTTAAAAGTATGTTGACAATTAAAGATTTAGTTAAAATGAGTGATGAAATAATCAACTTTTATATTATCTCAAGTTAATACAACGAAATAAAAAATTAAATTAAATTAAAGTGTGTAGGTACCTACTTTAATTTTTAAAATTACTAAAAGCTTTTTAATGTTTTTAAATTTAAATTAAACTAGAGAGAAAAACATGTTTTTTGTAAGCAAACAAATCTGACAACTAAACAGTTGTCAAAAATGGTTAGATGATATTGCTCAAGGCTTATACAAGAAAAGAGTGAGGACAGATAACACTCATTTAATGAACCTTTGTAAACTGAGTCCAGTTCCGAAGCGACCACCATGTTTTAATGCCTCTACATTGCCCATGCAACCTCATGTACCCCTTGCAATCTTACCATATACTTATCAGTAGATCTACTGAACTTCATTGTTCAGTAGATCTACTGATTTCAACTTCAGTTTACTGATTTACTGAAACACTACATCCCTTTCCTTGTCTAAGGCCCAAGAGAAGCGTAAGCGGTGAGGTAGTCACCCTCTCCCAAACAGATGTATATTTATCTACACTGGTGTTACACTTTTTTGCTACACTTTTCAATGGAGCAGAGTGGTGTAGCACTTAGTGTAGAACTAGTGCTACACCAGAAAACAAAGGAACAGACCTAATAATTCACAGCTGATGTCACTTCTATTTTTACTCGTAATGATAAATATGTGTTTATTTTTTAAATTTCTATTATCAGCTATAAATCAGTGAATCAAAAACATATGTAATTCTTATACTCATCAAATCATCAGGGCTTTTCATTCTGGGCGGAATGTTTTCCTCTCTTACTTAGAGCTCTCTGATTCGCTTATTGCGGTAAATCACTCTGCATTCCACTTGTATGTTGTCAAAGTTTGTTGTATGACTTGGCTTCCCTCCAGATTCTCACTTCCAGAATTTGGATATCTTCTTGACCTGGTCCTCCCATCTTTCTCTGGGTCTTCCCCTTGGTCTTTCAGTTGCTGGTTTCCTTCTGGTTCTGGAAAAATTCTCAATTTTTCTTCATCTTTTTTCGTAAGGCACATTGTCTCAGCTGCGTACGTAACTACTGGTCTGATTGCAACTCTGTATATTTTCAGTTTCGTATTTCTGGATAAGTTCTTGTCCTTCATAAGCCTATGATATCTCCAGTATGTTTTGTTGCCCGCTAGTATTTGTTCCATTACTTCATCACTTGTTAGTCTTACACTTACTCATTGTTAGACTCTTTCAAAAGTGTAGTTTTCTATTTTGATTTCTCTCGTTCTGTTATCTTCTCTTTTAGAGCAGAGTAGATCTTTTGTTTTTCCTTCATTAATTTATAGACCTTTTTTCATGCTTCTTTTGCCAGGACTGTTACTGCTTCTTTTAATTTATCCTTGTCTCTTCCCATAAGAACTAAATCATCTGCATATGCAACTATTTGTATTGAGGAGTAGGCTGTAGTTCCTTTAATTTTGCTGGCCTTTACTGTTCCTTCTACTGCTATGTTGAATAATGTGGTTGACAGGGAATCGCCTTGTTGCACTCCTATTTCTATTGCAATTGATTTTGTGCTACCTTCTTCTGTTGTTACTTTAGCTTGAGCTCCATCCATGGTCATTTTTGTTAATCTGATTAATTTTGCTGGCATATCTTGATTTTTCATTTCGTCCAATACAGCCCTTATACTATCAACAAAAAATCTATCCATCAAATGTTCCTATTATATACTTCTCAATACCTTAACTTTATCTGTCAAATTAATAGCACACTAGTCTCAACAATTACCCTATTTCTAAACAGAAAATATTCATGAAAATGTGGAGATGACTGTAATGATGAGACCATAGATCTATCATAGCAAATGTCATAAAATTATCTGAAATATGAAACAGCTCTTACCACAATATCTTACCTGTCATAGTGTACATATTCAAGGACAAGTCCCAATCCAGGTGCTCTAGGAATAATAACCTTATCAGATTTGAATGAATCCTTTATAATATCTTCTGATGCTAAACCTCTGATAATTGCTAACAGACAACCAACCATTTTTCTAATTTGATGCAACATAAAACTTTGTCCATGGACTTTTAAAATTGCAAATTCAACCCCTTTTCTAACAAAAGGTTTCTCGCATACAAAGGACTTCATATACCTGTTAGCACTGGGATCATTGTGTTTCTTTTTTGAGGTGTAATTATGGAAGTTCTTTGTGCCTAGAAAGTTTTCTAATACAGTATTTATCTTTGTAAATGTTTCATCATCAAGGCGGAAATCTTTTTGGGAAACTTCTTTATCGTGAGGAGCAAAGACTACTGTTGGTATTAAATAGATGTAGCTACGACCATCACATTGAGATTTACTGTTAAAGCCTTTGGTGACTCTTTTGTAATTGAAAACTCTGATGACTTCTGGAAGTTCAGCATTGATTTGGTTTAAATCTATATTTTCTTTTAACTTGAGAGACACTACTTGTCTAGCTGCAGAAACTCCTAAAATGGCACACGATTATTTGGGTGATCACAGAAAAACCAAAAACAGGAGTGAAAATGGTTTTGTCATTTGGTTTCAGGCTTTATTTAGTTATTCAATTTTTATTACTTTGTTGATTAGTTACAGTTGATTAGAGTGTTGGTTAATGATTGCCTTACACTAAAGATATGAATCATATAATCATAGATGTGCCACATATGGTACCGTTCCCGTCATGAAAAACTGATACAATTCTTATAATCAAAAATCGTGTTTTTTAAGTTGTGTACATTGATCTTGTCACATGTGTCATTCTAATTTCTAGGGCACTGTTGCCAGTTGAACGAAAATAATATATAAAACCAGCTAAAAGCAGGTTTGTGTGACAGACCACCAGTTTTGAGTATACTAAAAACTAAAACATTATCGAGCATTTTCGATCAGTCAGTCACATTAACTTTGTTTAAACATGCATCCTAAAAAATTCTCATATTAATTTTGTAATTTTCTAAATTATTTTCATTAATTCATCTAAATTAAGTACACATTTATTGATTTGTGTTTTATAACAATTTATGAAAATATTTCAATTTAAAAATATTGATAGATAATCAATTTAGACCTAACTTTAAATTATTATAATAAAACATTTCAGTGAGATATTTTAATTCTAACTGTCACATTTTAAAAAGCGGTTTTTCGCCCGAATATTTTATAGTTTATAATATGTAGGAGAAGTAGGATGTTAGTTTTTCCATTTTTTGTAATAAATAATAAACTGTTGCAAAACTGCCTATTTACAAAACTTATTGACACAAAATACAGTTCGTGTTTGGTAAGTAATTGAAGTATAAAATTACAGTACTTAGATGCATTCCAATGTTCTCTGTGCCAATAGCCTAGGTTTAAAGATCTTTCAAATATTTTGGATATTAACTCAACCCTATCTGTAGTTATTTAATCTATTAGATACGGTTTTTTGTTGTTAATGATAAAAATAATACCTATCTAAAAATTTTATACATTTTTGAATGTTATTTTTTATTTAGATTTAGTGCAATTCCGTAATCTGTGATGGCAACAACGAATTGATTGACTAACCATTGTGTCTACTCTGAACACAGGTTTACATTGGGAAAAAAAAGTGTACCAGTTTTATATGACGGGAAGTGTACACTTATAAAATTAAAGCATTTATTTAGATAAAATGATAAGTATGAATCTATTTCTATTAACAAATATGTTATTACCTTTGTCTGTCCTTGCAGCTCTTTGAAACTGCATATTTTGCACTTGATGGTAGCAATCTTCAGTTATTAGATTTGTTTTAAAAAGAGCATTCAACAAATCTTCTTCAATGGTCTTAGTATTTGGATTCCGTTGCATACCAAAGTAATTACTGCCTGAATATCCCAATAAAAGACAAAATTTCCTACGTTTTATTTTATCTTTTTCTATTTCTTGATCTTCATGGAGTTTCACCTTTTTCGGATCTTCGGGTGTTTCTCTTAAACTCTCGCCCTTATCTCTCCGCCTTTCTTCCCATTGTCGTTTTTTGGTACGACCATCATATTTGTTCTTCTTAAAAGGTTTAGAATCGCCCATTGAAGGAAAAATACTTGTTATGGGCAATTGTGGACCTTTTGATAAAAAATCGGCTTGTGAAAAGAATCTCTTAATATTTTTAGTATTTCTAAAAAGCATTACCTTATTATTTTAACGTAGATATAATTTTTAAAACAATAGTAAATGAAATTCTAATACAGTTAAGAAAAATATACCATGTTTATTTAAAAACCTTTTGTAGGTTATGTGTGAGCCGCCACTATTCTTCGTTTTTCTAGTAGTATTATTGTCAAAGAACTATTTAGCAAACAGCTAAGAAATTTCGTTTCCATCGAGAAATCAAATTATCAGTTTTCAAAATTTCATTAATAACGGATATTTATTATAAAAATACGTATTAATGGAATCTGATAAAGGTGTATTATTACAGTAATTAATGTTTTATAACAATTAAAGGTAAAAACATTTAAATATGTAATAAGTTGAATAAAAGCTACTGATTTAAAGGTTAATATAATGTTCGTAGGTTCAACTAATTTTATTAATTTAATAATATGTAATGCAATAATATGTTAAAAATGATTTATATCTTTTTAGTTATGACGACAAATCAAAATCGTATTACTACTACAATAACCTATCCAAGAAGACACAGTGGGAACATCCATTAGACGATATATATCGAGGTTTAGTAAAGAAAGCCCGCACAGAAAGTCAGTCCCTCAGTATTCACGATAACAGAGAAGATGCAACTTATGTTACGGATGATATTTTAAGTTTAGATGAACCAGTTTCTAATGTACCATCAAAGAAATTGGATCCTGTACCTACAGGTGGGAATATTCTTTTACATTTCCTGTGTCGTTAGTAATAACAAATAATTTAAATTATGTCTATTTATTCACTGTTTAATATAATTTTCTCGTAAAAAGAAAGTCATAAAATCACCTTATCGTGATCCGATGAAAGATAGTGAGAGTGAGAGAGTAGAGAGTATTACGTCTATACTGTGGTATTACGTTTAATATTGTTTTTAAGGGTTCTGCCGGTGCATTTAAACTATGAATTTAAACGGTCTTCTCATGTGACTTGCCTTAATACATCTAGATCTGGGCAATAGATCAAAAGGCAGACACAGTTGCACACGCCATAAAATATAGTCAAGAGATTTGCGCATGCGGATCTTCTTACCTCTTCCCTCTTCACATTCTACAATTTTTTTCGCAAAAACTTTAATTTCGAAATTTACGTGCTCGAAATGTCAAGGAAATTGTGATTTCATTGGAAAGGTGTGTTGCTAACTTAACCTATTCTCTTTCTTAGTTCAGCCGAGTCTCGTTAATCTCTGACACTTGGGCTAACTTAACAGTGCCGACAACTTGGAAGAAATTTTAAAACCTGTTAGTTCGAACACTGCTGTGGATTGAGTAAAGAATGCTCATTATTTGTCTTCATATTTATTCGTTCCTAGAAAGTGGCTGAAGAAAAGCAAGAGTGAGTATCTTCTACGGTGAGATTTAAGATTTTTAGGTTCAGTTGTGCGTTTGAGTGACCTTCATTTTTCATATTTCTGTGCTTTATGCCATATGTAATTTTTGTAGTACTGTTTTATTGGACTACTTAAGTGAACGTCACAATGGGCGGGCTTTTAAAAACCTTTCCACACATTTATTTGAAAAGGTTTTAAAAACCCCTGCCCATTGTGACGTCAGAGCTTAGGTAGTCCATTTCTTCTTCCCCTGTTTTTTGGATGCGTACCATAGAGAAATAACAAATTGCTATTTATTGTAACTTATTGTTATTTCTCTATGATGCGTACCTGGGATTGCCACTTTATGTACTGTTGTTTTTGTTGATTTTACCTTCCAAGGTAAATTTTGACTATTAATATTTTTTTAACAACTTGACCAACGAATATTTACGCATATAGAAGCACATTTCAAATGAGAGAAACGGTCACGGTTAGTATACTTCAAAATACTCCTGTAGATGGCGACTGCATAAACTTTATTACATTTACTATTTGTGGCTTTTTACACATTCAAATTAAATAAAAACGATTCAGTTATTATAATGTATTAAAAGTTAAAATAATATTTTATTTTCTACAAAAAAAATATGGGACATGAGTAGGATTTGATCTCTAATTTTGTAAAATTGCTAAGCAATTCCAGATATACTCATTCATATTTTAATATCAGTAGTAATTTGTGAACCAAGGGCCGGTGTGGTGGTAAAGGGGGAAGCACATGAGAGCTCCCTGGTGTTGCAGGAACAGAAGTAAAAAAGAAAAATATTCCCGAACTAGAATATACCAAAAAATTACGTTGTACTGTGCTTGTATATGAGTCTATATTCGTTGCTAGGACTATCAATTTAATAATTTCTGCATATAGTTATTTGAATACTAATACAAAATAAATGTATATGAAATAGTTCAAGACATATTGAGGCTCATAGTCGATTGCCTACGAGAAACCTTGTATGTATTTTCCGTGTTTATTAACATTAATTCCTTATTTCTATATTCTTTATTTTATTGACCACTTTAGGAACCAAAAAGAAGCTTACTCCTCTTAAACTCAGTCCAAATGCCAGTCCAAAAAAGGATTTTAAATTATTCAAACAGAAATCTGAAGATTTCAACGTTGGTCCCAAAAAGCTGTCTCTAGGTTTTAGTAGTTTTGACGATGAGAAAGAATCTGCTTCCATGTTTGACCGGCATCCTAGAAGTATGGAACTGAAAGTTATGGGGGGCGGTTCAATGTTTCTCAAATCAAATACTTTACGGAAAAATAGTGATGTTGGCATCAACTCCCTTAGCACAAAGACTGAAATATCTCAGGGTAAGTTAATAAATTACAGCATATACATAAGAATTTACTGCTTTCTAGTTTAAAGTACGTTCATATAAAAATGAGATGAATCAACGGTTCAACTTACAGAAAGATGAGTTGGTTTCGGTTCGCCGTAGAGAGTAGACGTGTTTTAGTTAGACTTCAATTAATAAAACCGGTTTTATCACCTCATACTTAATAGGTTACATAGTTCTTGTATTTTTAAAAAATATATTTTTTTTTCCTGTTTTTTTTTTATATTCCATATGAGAGTATTCACATCAAATTTGAAGGAAAGTCGAGCAATATTACCGGAGCTATAGAGATTTGAATACCGTGCGGTCAGTAAATGCGCTCTGTGCACGTATCAGCTACGCGGTCAGTAAATGCGCTCTGCGCACGTACTAGCTATGCGGTCAGTAAATGCGCTCTGCGTATATACCGACCACGCAGTCAGTTTTAAAAATCTAAATGCGTTTTGCTATAAACCTGAGAATCGAAAAAATGCTAAAAAATATTAATTATGTCGGTATCTTTAAAATAGACCAGAATTTCTGTCTCCGATTGATCTAAAGAAAGCGTTTGACAGAGTAAGACTCAAAGATTTAATCCATCTTCTGTACAATAGAGAAGTTCTCCTAAATATTATAAAAACTATCGAAAAAATAGTAATATAATATAGTAATATAATAGTAATAATAAAATATTAAAATCACGTGACCTGCCCAGCTTTATTTTAGTGTTGCTATAATGGTTGTATAATGGAGCTTCGCAGGACACAATGCCCGACTAGAGTATAGAAGTAATGGATTTTAACAAGAGCTATGAGTCATGCCAATTCAGTACACAAGTTTACCTTTTATTTTCAATGTCATAGCTCTTGTTAAAATCCATTACCTATAAAAGACTTCTTCTTCTTTTTATATAGATATGACTCTGTATGTTTTTCAAGATATTGAAGAACAAAGCGGCTTTCGTACCGGGAGATCCTGCCTTGATAATATATTTATCCTACGAGAAATAATTGTAAAGCGTGTCGAAAGAAGTAGAGAGACCCATTTGGTATTCATAGACCTTGAGAAAGCATATGATAGTGTCCCGTTAAAGAAAATGTTTGAGGTACTCGAAAGGTCCGGATTGGATTCGACGTATATCCGAGCGATATATAAATTGTACGAAAATGCAGTTAGTTGTGTAAAAATTCGAACCAGAACTTTAAATTAATTTAAAGTCACTAAAGGCCTAAAGCAAGGATGCTGTTTGTCACCGGCACTCTTTAAAATGTACGTCCAGGAAGCATTGAGGAATTGGAGAAATAAATGTAGATTTATGAGCATCGAAGTGGGACAAGAAACTCTGTATACATTGTTGTTTGCAGATGATCAGGTGGTGGTTGCAACCGATGAGGAAGAGATAAATTATATGAATCGAAAATTATTTGAGGAATATGCCAAAAGGGGGCTTACTGTAAACATAAGCAAAACAGAATATTTAAAAATTGGAGGAAATACCACAGATCTGAGGCTTGAAAACGCAGTCATAAAAGGTTGCAACCAGTATAAATATCTAGGAAGCATCATATCAGCAGATGACAGAGTTAAGATAGATGTACAAAACCAAATAACCCAAGGGAAAAAATGCATCCGAATACTGAATTCATTACTGTGGTCTAATAAAATAAAGATGCATAACAAACTTCGTGTATACAGAGCAATTGTAGAACCAATCACCATATATAGTGCCGAATGTTGGACGATGACAAAGAATGAACGAGATAAAGTAGACGTTGTGGAAATGGATTATCTTAGAAGGTCATGTCGAGTATCGAGAATGGAACGAATCAGGAATGAGGAAGTACGAAACCGTACAGGAATTAGAGATACTCTTTCAGATAGAATACAAGGAAGGCAGTTATAATGGTATGGTCACGTGATGAGAATGGAGGAGGAGCGGTGGCCAAAGAAAGCCTTAATGTATGTTCCGCCAGAAAGAAGGAAAAGGGGAAGACCACCAAATTCCTGGAGAAGAGAAATTACAAAAACAATGCAATCTAGAGGCTTAGAAGAGGGAGATTGGTGAGATAGGAAAATATGGAGGCTGAAATGCGGGAAGCGGCAATCGCCGTAGGACCCCCGTTATATGATGATGTTTTTCAATTTGCCTCCAATAAGTTGTCATTCTATCGTTTTCGTGGTCTTCCTATTGGGGATCCGTCTCTTGCCGTATTTACTACTGTATTTGTTGTCATTTGGCATATATGATCGTTCCATTCTACTCTTCTATTTCTTACCCAGTTTTTGATGTTCTCCACCTTGCATCTATGTATATCTGTACTTCTAGCTCTGTCCCATAGTATCTTACAATCAATTTTTCCAAGTGTTTTCATTTCTGCTGTTTCTAACATCCTTTTTGTCCTCTCTGTGTCAGGTCTTGTTTCTGCCGCGTATGTCATTATTGGTCTATAAAAGACGGAATCATGAATTACAACAATGGAGAACATGGTTAGGAAAAAGAAGCAGAGGACCTCAAATGAGATGGGCGGATGATATTAAGAAGATCGGAGGAAACAACTGGAAGCCAATGCCGCAAAATATAAGACTTGTATTGATTTGGGGGGGGGGGGAGCTATGTCCAAAGTTGGATTACTTAATTCTGAAGAAGAAGAAAAATAATGGTTGACAGTAAAATGCCAATACAACCAGAAGTGGTAACAGCGTACGGAGAACAACTGAAACAGTATCACTTGTCTTGGTTGTAATCTAAATGAGACTTGGCACATGAGCAAATAAATTAGAATACGTATCTCCCTCTTCAATCCTGACCCCCCAGGGGGAGTGTAGTGGTCGACGTGATGTCGTGTATTGTCCGTCTCCAGAGATCTCTGTCTCTGGTCATTTCTTTTAATTCATGCATAGGTCTTTGGCATATTCCTGTAATTTGATCTATCCATCTTGTTGGGGATCTTCCTCGTGATCTTCGGCCTTCTACCTTTCCTTGTATTATGAGTCTTTCCATGTTTTCTGTGTTTGCTCTCATAACATGCCCAAAATATTTTAATTGTTGGAGATGGACTTTACTAGAGAGTCGTTGGCTAACTTTTAGCTCTCTTAAAATTGAATTATTTGTTCTACGGTTGGTCCAAGGAATTCGTAACATTCGTCTCCAACAGAACATTTCAGTGGCGTCTATCTTTCTTCTCTCCGATTGTCTCAGAGTCCAAGATTCACATCCGTAGGTCAGTATTGGGAATATTAAGCAGTTGATCAACCTCATCTTTATCGCTCTTGAAATTTGACAGTCCTTCCATATTTTGGTCATTTTTGTTGTGGTAACTTTTGCTAGATCACATCTACGTTTAATCTCTTCTTGTAATGACCCTGTGTTTGTGATTAATGATCCCAGATATAAGTATGAGCTCACAACCTCGAACCGGTCAATTGTGGTTATGTGTGGATGAATACGTATAAGTATATAGAGAAGGCCACGGCTGCATTTTTTAAGATGAAAAAAATCTAATGTGGAAATACTATTACTTTGAGATTGAAAATTAGATTAGTAAGATTATTTTGCAGCGGATGGGAGAAGTTATGTAAGTTAAAAATCGCAAACTGGAATATTTTGGCATGGAGCATCATGTTAGGCATCACCCAGAGAGATACAATATCCTTCTTTTAATACTGAGGAAATGATCTAACATATCCTCTGCGTTCCTTTTCCAAGCAGCCATCAACAAACTTAGTATAGCCAATTTGATAGTTAACACACAATAATCGAGCAGGACACAGGAAAAAGAATTTTCTCTGTATAGCATCAACTATTCCTGATCTTCGTAGTTGGCGGTTTGGGATTTTGTCTTGTAGAGAAACGCTAAACATTTCGCGGTCCATCGTCCTTTGAACTATATATTTTCAATCCTCCTTCTAAAGAGAACAGGTAAAACTGATTTAGAAGTTCGTTGCTCATGTTTCCTTATTTTTAGCTTTCATCTTAACTTCTTTCAGTGTTTAAATAATATTATTGTTCATTGAACACCGTAACTGGCATTTGCTGTAGGATAATAGACTGACAATCATAGAGCATTAATTTTTTTATTCTGATAGATCCGAACCTTCCTAATGCTAAGACTCCTAAAAAATGTGATTTAAGAGACGTCTTATACAGTGAAAGATGAGTTTTAAGTGCTATTTATTTATACAACTAAAGAAACTGAATTATCATTGCCATTTTTTGTAGATTTACAACAACCTAGAAGCATTTTGCGAGAAAAGAATTCCATGGAACATTCAAAAAGCTTGGAATTCGATAAACTTATTGTAGACAAGTCCGAAAAGGACGACGACGACAAAAAAAGTGTTCGGTTTAATTTGGATAACAACACCGACATCGGGATTACCTTTTCAGACAAAAGTTCCAGCGAAGAAGAGCTTGCTACTAGTGATAAAAATAAACTAGAAGATATTATTAACGTTAAAATAACTCCCAGTAAGAACAGGTTTTCGGTCCATCCTGTTTTGGAACCTTTAAAGCCAACTTCTTTGAAGTTAATCAAGCCGAATCCTAAAGATTTCATTAAACCGAAGTTAACTTTGAACAAGGGCTCAGACAGTGACGAGGAAACCCATAGTTTGGAGAAAACAGGTAATATATACTTTTTAAAGAAGTCGATATTTCATATTATAACTCTCTATTATAATAATGTTGTATAATATATGTACCGTGCTGTGTCTTTTAGGTGCGTACTAGATTATATACTCCACATTATAATCATCAATGGCATTCAAACTCTTCGTGAGTCTTTGCGCGTTTACTACTGCCTCATACCCTTGTCGGTCCTATGCAGTATTTCCCACTATCTTATCCTCATTTTCTCCAGATCCTCTCTGAATGCATCTTTCTACCTTTTTCTAGGTCGTCATATAGGTCTTCCCCATCTGATTTTCCCAAAAAACATTTTTTATAAGTCCGTAGATAATTCACGCATTTCTAAATAGATAATCTGTCTACATACGTTACTTTCTGTCATAGATACTGACTATAATACTGCTCATCTGTTATTCCCCACCTACAACTTTAGAATCTGTGAGCTGTAGTCTCTCTCTTCAATCCTGACCCCCCAGGGGGAATGTAGTGGTCGACGTGATGTCGTGTATTGTCTGTCTCCAGAGATCTCTGTCTCTGGTCATTTCTTTTAATTCATGCATAGTAGTTATTATGCAATATGGACTACAGTACTAATAGCTGTAGTATTGTAGTCCATATTACAACGTTAAAATCAAACGTACGGTTTTCTTTTTTATAAATTTTTATTTGGAACGAACAACTATAACATTAGGTTGGTAAAATCTAACTATAATTAAAACTATCTTCTATTTTTGTATATCTTCTAATATTATAATGTGTGGGGAAGCTACAGGAAAAAGAAGTGTCTTAAGTATTCGCCGGCACGTTGCGTCACTGTGAGGTAGTTCATTCGAAAAATAACTGCGCTTTAAATTTTATCTGAAAGTGTGTCTTTCAAATGGATTTTTTTAGCTTTACGTGTCTCGACAGCGTAGGTCACTGACACAGGTACAATTTCATTAGATTACATTACAAGAATAGTTACAATCAATAAAGAAATACAATAAATATTGGTAGACTTATTAATTATAAAATTCTAAACTACGTTTCTTCTTCTAAATTTCCTGGTAAAGCTTGGTTTCATAGAGGAAATAAATAAGGTTTTGGAATTGATCTGGCGAGCTGAGAATATTTTGTAGGTTTCGATTCAAAAGATTCTTTTTTCTTTAGAAATATTATCACAGTGTGTACATGTAGGTAGATCTTGGGAAATCATTAAATGTTTATGAGTTAGTCTTGTATGGCCAGTTCTATATTAGGCCGGATAGAATATTTTAAAAGGAGTTGCCGGCGACGTACCTCTGAGGCTCGACCTGAAGGTTCTAAGGCAGATTCGAAGTGCAATGTTGTGTACAGAATTAAGAATTTTTAAATCTGAAGTAAGGAGTCTTCGTCTGCACCCCAACGAAAATTGGACAGAGTTTTTAATATGTTAAGATTTGTCATGCACTTAGTTTTGAGATCTTTTAAATAACATTTCTAAGTAAGTTTACTGTCGAATGTGTCAAATAGAATTTATGACGGTTTTCAATAAAGGATGTGTACTATCTCGATAACTCTTATCCACGGAGCGCATATGACGATACAGCCCTCCTTGCCAACAGCTAAAGCTGGATTTTCACAGATCCTATATCCGAAGACACGAAATTCGAAATTTTTTCGTATGAATGTATTTGATTGTCGTATCCGAAATTTTTTGACATATATGTCATATATATGTGTTATGTGTAAGATTATTGGATCGATTGATATTTATTTCAATGAACTATCAATAAATGTTAGCTGTTTTGTTTGGTAAAATATATATTATATTGAGCTACTTTGTCGTCGTTTTTGCCTCACATGGTGTAGAAGACACAAAAGTAACACTTTATTCATTGCATTTTTATATAATAATTAGGTCTTTGTTCCATTTTAAATATATTTCAAATAGTAAACATAAACACTCCACAAAAGTAAGGTTAAAGTTCAAGTCAAAATGTCAACAATGTCAAAATTCATCCGATTTTCGTGCAAAAGTTAAAATATTTTTAACTTCTTCCGATGACTTTTAATTTCGTACGAAAATCCCACCTGTCATTTTTCAACCAATGAAATTCGCTGAAATTTATATCGTATCATCGTACCGTCGGATATCGGACCTGTGAAAATCCACTTTAAAGGTCGATTCAGACACATCAGTCACGTCTCGTCACAGTGATGGCACCGAACCGAACAATCCGTCATACAAAATATTCTTTAATACAAATATGGCGCCGGCATTCACACTCATCAGTTGACAAACAGTTTGCCAGCTGTCAGATAGTTGATAGTTCTGTGACCAAACAGGACCGGTTCGGTGCCGTGACGATGACGTGACTGATGTGTCTGAATCGACCTTAAAGGTCGATTCAGACACATCAGTCCCGTCATAGTCTCGGCGCCGAACCGGTCCTGTTTGGTCACAGAACTATCAACTATCTGGCAGATGGGAAACTGTTTGTCAACTGATGAGTGTGAATGCTGGCAACATATTTGTATTAAAGAATATTTTGTATGACGGGTTGTTCGGTTCGGCGCAATCACTGTGACGAGACGTGACTGATGTGTCTGAATCGACCTTAAGAAGACCTGTTTGATCTCATACGGCTGGTTGAAAATGAGAGTAAAAGGTTTAGTCTGAAGTGGTGGATAGGCAACACAACAACCATCCTCATATTAAAATTGACCACAAACGCAGGGATACTCCAGGAGATAAAACTTGGATGGGATCTAGCCAAGGTCGCTACGAGGAAGATCACCACTATCTGTAAAGTCACCATTATTTCAAGTATTGATATATAGATGCGAATCTTGGACATTAAGGTAATCAGATAGAAGAAATATAGACGTCACTGAAAAGAACTAGAGACCAGTAAAGATTCTCCGGTAAAACCCAACTGCAACAATTAAAATATTTTGGAAATTATGTCATCAGGTCAGACCGAACTGAACATGAGGAAAATCTCTAACAAGATGGATTAATCAGATCATAGGAAATTGCAAAAGACCTATGCACGACGTAATTTTCAAAAGATTGAAATATAATTTTCATATAGAACATATTTTACAAAAAATATAGCCTTTCTTCTTTCTTCCAATTATGATGGAAGTGAACGATTTCATTACGTTCTCAGCTCACACTTCTTTAGCATTGTATGATGAATTGCTTTCCGACCTATTTCTTTCTGGCATTAATCGTTTTGTTTCTCCTGTTCACCAATTATTTGACTCATGATGTATTTGTTAATAGGATTTCTTATTCCAAAGCAATAGCAAGTGCTTTTTAATTTGTGTCCTTCTTTAATTGACTCGCTTTCTCCTTTTATTCTCAAGGTTTTTGCAAAACAATCTATGGCTAGTTCTTTTAACATGTCAGAGTATCAGACGCTTCTGGAAAGGTAATGTTAAACTTTTCTAACTGCATGATATGAGTAACATCTGCTCCAAATTCCTTTCTTTATGAATTGTTGTCATAATAGCTTCAAATTGTCTCAGATAGGCATATAGGTAGATAGTATATGATAGTGAATAATAGAAATTGGACCATCTTTCTTCGAAATAGCCAATAGACATAAGTGTAAATCTGTTAATATAACCCTTTTTCATCTAATTGGTGGAGAAGGGAAGAAAATACTCATTTATTATTGATTTATTTTATTTTTAGGAATAGATCATCCCGATGTACTATTCGAATCTGAAAACTCAGAGTCATCTAGCGAAAAGATAGCGGAAAAATCGAAAAAGTTAGAAGAAAAGGCTGGGAAGAAAGTAGAACAACTGAAACAAGATATTTGGGAAGAAAAAAACAAAGAGATACTTAAATTTAAATCGGATTTAGAAACGTCGCATAAACAAGAAGTGAAAAGAATTTTGGAAGACGAAAAGATAAAGCAAGATCAAGTAATCCAAGAGGAAGTGAAGAAGTTAAAAGAGGAATGGAATTTAGAACATAAATCAGCTATAGATGAAGAAAAGACTAAAATGAATGAAAAACTTGATAACCTGAAGACTGAATTAGAATGTAAGATAAAAATTGAGGAAGAAAAATTAAAGGAAAATTTTGAAAGTAAGAAAGATGAACTGGAAAAGTACTATGAGGAAAAACTAGTAGATATAGAAAAGGAATTAGCTGAGAAAGTTGAGAAAAATAGAGACGAGTTGGTTTTTACACATAACGCAGATGTTGATCAATTGAAGCAGAACCATTCTATCATTATAGAAGAATTAAAAAGACAATTTGATGCTGAGGTAAGTTCTGGTCGTAATTCCTGTGCAATTTTAAATTTTAGCATTTATCAGTAATGGAATCTTATCAGTGCGTCTAGTGGTTGATCTCTTGTAGTTGTCGTTCTCCATTCAATTTATTAAACGGGAAGTGAAATATGAGTGAAATAACAGTGGCTAGTTCTGAGACATTGTCACTTCACTGACATCTGTCAAAGTTAAATCTATATCTATGTGTATGACTATGGTATGGGTAAACTCAACAATTGTACAATCATACAATATATTCAGTAGACTCTATTTGTAGATTTGATAAATATATACAGATTTCGCTTGCCTAAAACTAAATAACTTTAAAGGTTTGTGGACAGCTTTTAAAAAATAGCTTTTATTCTTGTGGTTATCAATTAATTAATATTGGCGATTACTTCGGCAAATTTTCTCTATCCTCTGCTGTTATTAATAGTTCTTTATAATTTAAACCCTTCTGATGTCGTATATTTCGGATCCAAGAGTGTTTTTCCCTCAGTCTCTGGTTTTTCCTTCAATAACAGAGTTAGTGGTGATTGATGGTGGAGCATTAACAGCAGATAAGTATATCAGAGATATTCTCCAAGACCATGTGGTACCTTTTTCACCATATATTGGCGAAAATTTATTTTATAGTGTAAGAGTGTAAGATATTTCTTATTACAAGTGGGTATAACAACGATGAATTGGCCAGCTTGTTCCCCAGACCTAAACCCGATAGAGGATATGTGGGAAATGCTAGGCAGAAAACTTAGGGCACGGGTTCCTGCTATTCAAAACAGAGAAGAAGTCACAATTGCAAAAGATTGAGGAATGGGAGAGGCTGCCCAACAACTGATCGATAGCGTTATCAGAAGTATGAGAAGACGAATAACTGCAGTTGTAAGGGCTCGTAGGGGAAACACACGCTATTAAAGCCAAAAAAATGCATAAAAAACAATTTAAGTTCAAACTGTACAATAAAGTTAATGCATTTAAAATCCGTATTTTGTTGAGTCTGACATCTTTGTGTTTTATTTCTTCTTAAACAGGTTTTATATTGTACTACCATTGTAATATAAATTCAAAATACTTCACCAACATTCGTATTATGATATTATCTAAACAGTATATAGACTAGAGAGAAAATACTCAGATTTTATGGTTGTTCCTTTAAATATGCTGGTGAAACTAAGAAAAAAATGAGCATTTATTGATGAAAAACATGGCTAGTTGTTAACGTACCTAACTTTTTTATTATCCAATACAAGCAAATGAATCAAAAAAGAAAATGTTAAGAAAGCCTGAGACTATAATTGAGCTTTAATTTCAATATTTTATATATGCTAGAATATTCCACAAGGTGTTTCGAACTTTAAGGAAAAAACACAGTATGATTGTTACACCCGGTATAAAATGACGTTGACCTGTCTAGCAACAATATTATTTCATTGATATTCTTAAATAATATACCTATAACATACTAAAAAAATCACTAAAATCGGACAACAGGTTTAGGAAATTCGAGTCATCTAACATGTCCCATTTTTAAGGTGTTCCGTTAATTTTGCCGGTGAGTGTATATTTCATTCTTAAATTTATAGTAACAATATCGAATTCTACACGTAAATAACAATATAAATAAAGTCATTCTAATGAAGGAATCTCTATGAACGGGTCCTGCATTATCATTTATTCACACACTCTCAGAAAGATTTATAAACATATCAATATTAAACTCTACACACTTGACCTTTACACAACAAATTTAATTAGTCGTTCATATGAACGGATTTTTATCAACGGGTCATTTTAATGAATGACCTGGAAGACCCGGGTCACCGAAACGAACCAGGTCTGCACATCACTAGCTGTAGTAGATCTCTTTTTTTTGCTTAAACGATCTCGAACTTATCTATTCATTGTATGGTCAGTCCAGGGAGTTTGTAGCGTTTACGCTACTGATGAAATTATGCAATTTTTTGAATTTAATTAATTTCATCAGTAGCGTAAACGCTACATTTGTCGACTTATTTTTGTCATTTTCAACTTAACAGTATCCTGCTTATCTCGTACGATATGAAGGATTCGGATTCTGAATGAAATAACTAAAGAGCCTGTAAAAAAGATACTTGAGACAGTTGATGGGGTTGAGATACAGTTCATGGGGGTTCAATGTCTTATGAAGCTAATTGAAACGCAATACTCCGGGAGTATTGGATTTTAGGAAGCGTAGAATTTACAAATTACAGAAGAACTGGGAGAGAGGTGATGGAAATACTAAAAAAAAATGGCCAAGCTCAGAGGAACAAATTTAAACGGCCAAAGAGGCACTAAATCTCAAGCGAGTATTCGGGCTAGCTTCAATGCAAATATTTATTTTATTTAGCGTATGGCTCAATACATGGAGTAAGTAAATACAGTAATAATTGTAAAAAACGTAAGTGCATAATTCAAAAATACAAACATAAGATTATAAAAACGAACATAGAAAAAATACAGATAAAATATAAAATAATACAAACAGATAAGGTTTCAATAAGGTTCAATGCACTGAATGGTGGCTTTAGAGATATAAAACAGATAGAAGGGATAATGAACTGATGGGAACAAGGAACAAAATGAGACCTGTTAATATCAAACGTAATACAACTATACAGGGTGGTCCTTAAGTAATTGTACAAAAAGAAACCGTAGATTTTACACTTTAAAATATTTCGATTTAAGTCAAGTTGCTTTACTAAAATGTTAATATTAAGAAAGATACAGGGTGTTAAAGTGGAAATTTAAAATTTTATTTTTTGGTATAACTTTTATGTTTGTCAACTTTTATGTATAAAAATTTACAACTGGGTAGTATTTAATATCAGAAATTTTAATTTGGTGTGTACTTTGATGTATCTGATAGAGGGCGCCACATATGCCACATACGTGGCATATATTTGCACTTAACTTTTTTGCTTCTCAAGTTATGGGTATTTTTATTAAAAAATATTAAAGATACATTATTTTAACAAAAAAAAGGTATACTTCTTAATATCCTCAAAACTCAACAGTTTTCGAGATAATCGCATTTTAGAAATCAACTACATAATTCTGATTTATCTCAATTACTCCAGGCAACGAAAGAAAATTAAAGAAAAACATCAATACTTCTGAATTTTGGTATAAAATACCTTTAATAAAGTTAATAATTAACGAATTATTAAATAAAATAAATATATCAGCAGGATAAAATGACAGGATTTGATAAATAACAGAATAATTGGATTTTACATCAAACATTTTACGTTTTGTATTAAATTAAAGGCATAATCAAAACATTTTATTTACAAACCAAATTAAGAAATAGTTAAACTAAATAACGTTGAACTTTTTGTCAAAGTAAGTGTTCAATATGTCCACCATTTTCTTTAATTCATTTGTCAATACATTCCATAAAATATCGTCTCATATTAAATAGCATCATTGGTTCTAAAGAAACTGCTGCAGTATTTATTATAAGTGTTATACGTATAATAATAAGTAATTTTTTGAAATTTTTATGAACTAAATAATTATATTAATATTTCACCACAAGAATATGACTTTCTTTTATTCTATTATTATTATTTTATTCTATTCTTTAGAATTTGTTTTGAATTGGTTCTTTAGAACCAATGATGCTATTTAATATAAGACAATATTTTATAGAATGTATCAACAAATGATTTAAAGAAAATGGTGGACATATCGAACACTTACTTTGACAAAAAATTTAATGTTATTTAGTTTAACAATTTCTTAATTTGGTTTGTAAATAAAATGTTTTGATTATGACTTTAATTTAATACAAAACGTAAAATGTTTGATGTAAAATCCAATTATTCTGTTATTTTATCGAATTCTATTATTAATTATCCTGCTGATATATTTATTTTATTTAATATTCCGTTAACTATTAACTTTATTAAAGGAATTTTATAACAAAATTTAGAAGTATTGATGTTTTTATCTATTTTTCTTTCATTGCCTGGAGTAATTGCGTTAAATCAGAATTATGCAGTTGATTTGTAAAATGCGATTATCTCGAAAACTGTTGAGTTTTGAAGTTATTAACGAGTATACCTTTTCTTTGTTAAAATAATGTATCTTTAATATTTTTTATCAAAAATACCGCTAACTTGAAGAACAAAAAAGTTAAGTGCAAATGTATGCCACATATGTGGTATATGTGGCGCCCTCTATCGGCTATATCAAAGTATGCCTCAAATTATAATTTCTAATATTAAATAGTACCCAGTTGTAAATTTTTATACATAAATGTTTACAAACATGAAAGTTATAGCGAAAAATAAAATTTTAAATTTCCACTTTAACACCCTGTATCTTTTTTAATATCAACTTTTTATTAAAGCAAGTTGACTTTAATCGTATTATTTTAAAGCGTAGAATCTGCGGTTTCTTTTTGTACAATTACTTAAGGACCACCCTGTATAAGGACACTGGAAATAAATCTATATAAAGAGGACGATAAGTAGAGAATAAGAAGGGCACCAACTCAACAATAGTTCAGATTATGAAGTAACAAATGACAGGAAATAAATGACATTGGATATAATCACCCGAAATACAAAATACTCAATACTAACCTTGTCTTGCTACTACCATATTCATATATACTGATTAGTAGAAACTGAAATAAAAGTCAAAATACTAATGACAAATGTCTATTTTTTTTTTTTAATAAATGAAATCAATTTCATCAGTAGCGTAAACGCTTTTCAATATTCTTCTTTAAGTCCACATCTCAAATGCCTCGATCTTGTTCATAATTGGAATTGTGAGTAACGTTTTGCGCCGTATGGCATAGTTGGTCAAACATAGTATTTAAGTAGTGGTATTCTAAGTTGATGTGTGGGTTGCATAGTAGGCCTTTCATTCGTATGAATGCACGTCTTGTTTGTTCAGTTTTGCATTTATTCGCTAGATTTTACCATCATCATTATCATTCTCAGCATATTCTACCGATTATTGTGCAGCCTCTCTTACATAGTCATTCTTCATTTCTGTCCACGATTGTCTAAAATTCGCTGTTCTGTCCCATGTTGTAAAGGCTTGTTTTTTTACGCCATAGTCCCATCTTAAATTTTAACATGGTACTAAATCCACTTCTGAAGCCAGCTTGCTCTCTCGGCTGTGCAGCATCTAATGCGTTTGTTAATCTGTTGTTGATGATCTTTGTGAATATCTTGTATCTGATTGGTAGCAGACTTATAGGTCTGTAGTTTTTAGTATCCTCTTTGCTGCCTTTTTTATGAGTGAGAATTGTGTTTGCTGTATTCCAGTGGTCTTGTATGCATCTCGATCTTAGGCAGTTCATAAATATGCCTGCTATTTTCCAGGTTTTATCGCCAGCGTATTTAAGAAGTTTTACTGTTATACCATATATTTCAGCTGCTTTACCGCTTTTCATTTTTGTAATTGTCGATTCTGCTTCTTTCGGAAAGACTTCTGGTACATCTTCTTGATAACTGATTACTTCTTCAAGTGTGTCAGGGGCTTTATATAGTTCGCTGCTGCGAGTTCTATTATTTCATATCTGTCTATAATTCTGGTGTTTTTGTTTGTTAGAGTAACGATTTGCTTCTTCCTAATGATTAATGGTTTTCTTATTTTCTTATAGTTTTTCCTATTTTCGGTTGTATTTTTACCAGTTTTTCATTCTATTTTTTTGTCTTTCTTATTACGTTTCCTTATTGTCGTACAAAGTTCTGTGTATTGTATTCTCCATATGTTGCTACTTACTTTCATTCCCCTTCTTTGTTTTAGCATTATTTTAGTTTGTTATAATTTTGCAATTGGCATGTTTTGGTAGTGTGAAAACCGAACCAGTCGTTCTCCCCTCTCATTTCTATCACCGAATCTCACGACGCGACGTGTTCCTTGTCGTTTCTCTTTTCCACTTTGGCATTAGTCATCAATTAAATACTTGAAGTGACTTTTATTGCCATTTAATGATTCATTTATGTTACAGTAGAGTTCCTCTATTTCTTCGTCAGTGTGAGATGTGATGTGATGTATCTATGTGGTGGATTTTTTTAGGAGCAAGTTTTGAGAAAGGCCCATCAAGCAAAAATGGCCGAGTTGAGAAGTAAATTTCAAGCGGAGTCGGAACAAGATCGGGGCAAGCATACGACAGATGAGAGAACATTTGAAAAACTCAGGTGTGAAAAGCGACTATTAGAAGATAAGTACAGATGTTTGAAAGAGAAGTATTTGAAGTTAAAAACAGAAATAAAACTAACGATGGAAAAGAGAAGTAAAAGAAAAGAACAGAGCACCACTACTAATACTACAGGTTCTGAGACTGAGCAGAGCAATTCCAATAACAGAGACAGGTAAGATCTTTTAATACATAATTATTGATATAAAAAAATTGTGAAATAAATTTCACTTTGTATGAAAAGTTATAAATAAAAATATGTTATAGAATTCTTTAAACAAAATGTGTAACGGAGTTCTAATGACTTTGTTTTAATTTTTTTTTTAATAAATAAAACCTTTCGTAGAGCGTGCTTGCCTTTCTACTATCTTGCCTCACTCATAGCATGGTCGTAGTTATTTGTTTGCGCATGTCAGAGACAAAGTGAAGTTTGCCAAATTGTACTATTTGTTTTAGAAAAGTCTTGGATAAACCACCAACTCCTAAGCATTCAAAAAACGCCAGCGTTGAAGAGCGGCCAAAGTCGGAAACAAGAAATGTTAAGCAGGTAGTGATACAAGATTTGGATACATCAGTCAGCGATAATTGTTACCAAAGTGACGACAAAACCAATCAGAATGACAGTTCAGATAGTACTAATCCAGGAAGAAGTAGAAAGAAGATATTTTCCAGGTTAGTGGTATTACTCACTGGTTGATAAATATTAGCTGTTGTTTACTATAGAGATTCGAAGGATATTTTATTTAGCAGAACCTATGCTTTGGAACAATTTATAATATAAAGATTTTTTTTTAATTTTTAGGTTAAAAAGCTCTTCTACATCTCGCATAAATAATAATTCCAAGCAAAGAAAACCTCAGAGATCGTGTTCTCCAGTGGAAAATCTTCGAAGGCAACTTCAGAAGTTAGAAGATTTAGAAGATCAGTTTCCGGAAAACGCTCAAGCTGATACTTACCATCTCAGGTCAGTTATAAATAAAATCGATCCTAGTTGATTTATTTTTATATATCATGTAAAGTTTTTTCTATATCTATTGAATGAGTGACACGAAACCATAAGTTCTCTTCTTTTACCGTACCACTCAACCATCGGCCGACTTGATCCACTTTTATATGTAGGTATACTTTTTTATGTTTTTTGGCCTGCACGTGATTTGTCCACGAAACTATTGACATCGACGTGAGTATGCTAGCCCACTGACCGATCGGACCGACAATAAAACTTTTAATTTCCAATTACAATGATTGAGACTGATGTATAAATACGCGTCAGACTTTTTTTGTTATAAGATGTACTGATTTTGGTTTCAGATACCCTTTCTCTGACGGACAAAAGTTTGAAGGAAGTTCCGAGTTGGAATTCTTCAGACACCGAATTCATCTCGAAAGAGATTCGATCAAGAGAGCGAAAGAGAGTTTAAGGAGTCAAAAGAGTTTATTTCAGCAGAGGCAAAAGGAATTGAAATTAAAACACGGGACCATGGCTAGACATACTTTACAACAGCTTTGCCAGGTAAATTTTATTATAGTTTTTAGATCTAAATAATAAAACAAATATCCGTTTTGTCTTCAACTTTAGTAGATAATAAATTTCTAAGTATTTCTAAATTTTTTGCTATATATTCATACAAAAAACATTTATTATATTAAATCTAATTAATTTTGTAATTTTTAAATAAAATGTTTCGTAAAAATTTAAATTCTCTGCAGATTCTGCAAAGAATCTCACTTTATTAAATAGAAATATTGTAGTAAGTAAAGTTCTTTGCAACAACTGGAATTAGAATAAATTTTATCAACATCAGTCACCAGAACTTTCCCAATTTTAACCATCACTAAGCCAATAGGGACAACAGCAGCTGGGCCAATAAAAGAGCTAGGGAGGTAAATAATGATGACGTCTGCTTTCTAGATTACGAAAAAGCTTTCGATAAAATAAACCACAGTAAACTTATCGATATTCTCATAACAATCGATATACAAGTTACCTAATGATCTGAGGACCATAGGAAATTTATGTACGCAACAAAACGGCGTAGTTAAACTTGACAATAATTATATCGAAACATTTAATATCCAGAGAAGCTTTACTTAGAGAAGGCCGACTCACAAACAGCATTCGCAACAATCTCAACCAGTGTGCAATTCATGCAGTTGTTTAGTTGGTTTTGTTATTCTTTTACATTATCGATAGATATCTGGATCTATTTTATTTGCTAAATTTTGGATAATGATATCAAATACTCCAAACTTTTTATTTAAAAATTAATATTTTATTTTCGATTATTTATTTAGCAACAGAGGCAACTAGAGACCTGCAACATTACATTTTTGTAACATCCACCATATTGGTACTACTTGCACATGCAAGTAGTACCAATTACCAAGTACAAGTCTTGGTTCGAACAATATGCATTATTAGAGGAGGACCTGGAAACTTGGTTCGAACAATATGCATTATTAGAGGAGGACCTGGAAACAAATCTGTGATCTATGATCTCGTATACGAATGGAATAGCTACCAAATTACCTGCCCCATTCAATAACGCAGGAGTTATATCCACATTATATGCAGCTATAGTTTTCTTCAGTGAACAAGAATTTTGTAAAGTACTATTTTGACTTGTTTTTATGATATTTAAGAAATTATTAATTAAAGTCTTTACAACTGTAAAAATATTTAACTCCACACAGAATATTTCAAAAATGATGCTTATGATTTTATGACTGGGTTTAGGACACTACTAAAAATTAATATTAAGAGTAAAAAATTATACTAGTGTTCAAATATAAATAATAAATTTGTTAAGGTTGTTACTTTTCGACAATGCCAAACCATTTTCAAATCATTGGCACGCTGATACAAAGTACTTGAAAAATATAGAACAAAGAAACAAATTCTATAAATCGAACTTTTTCTTACCAAGGAATGTAGGCTTTCATGGAGATGTACGAGAGAGAAATGCGTTATTGAGAAGTACGTAAGGCTAGTAAAGGATATATAACCAAAGTAAGGACTTGTATCAGATTGACCGAAATCATTCCAAAGACGGTTGCTTTGAATCAAGGCTTTTCACCCAGTTACTACCTTTTTCATGTTTTTATAGATGTACTGACAGAAAAGGTAAGGGAGTTCCTTGGTCGATGCACTTTGTTGATGATATTATGTTAGTGGAGTAGAGCAAATGTTAAAGAAGAATTTGGAGGATTGGAGAAGGGCTATTGCAGAGCGAGGACTTAAGATTCTAGATCTAAAATAAGTATATGTGGTTAAGAGGAACAGAAATTGTTGGAGACATCGAATTGTTTGGGGAAAAACTGGGAGGAGTAGGAGTATTTAAATACCTTGGCACTTGGCATTTAATTTCCTTGGTATATAAAGGAAAATGGGACACTCCATCGAGAAATAGCCAACAGGATACAGGCTAGCTGGTTTAACTGAAATCGAATGAGCTTTGAACAATTCGGGAAGGGCTGAAAGGAAATTATATAAGAATGTAATGAGGCCTGAGTACTGAGTATGGCGGTGAAGTGTGGCCTGTATAGAGGTTTCAGGAAAAGATAATCTAGATGAAAATGTTAAGGTTAGTAAGATTAAATAAGACTAGAAGAAACGACTTGATTGGGGGAAGAGCCGGGGTGACTACATTTTCCAAAAAAATTCAAGAATAAAGACTACAATGGTTTGGTAGCGAAGGATAGAACTGTGAGAATTTAAGGAAAATAGGGATAGAGGAAAACCGAAGAGAAGATGTAAGGACTGTGTAGTAGAGGACTTCCGAGGGAAAAGTTTAAATGGAGAAGATACAATGGACATAAGTGAGGGCGAAGAAAAGCAGGAGCGACTCCTGAAAAGGAAAAGCTGGAGAAGAAGAAGAAAATATATAGTTACAAAAACAAGTTTTAGAACCTACAAAATCAAATATTTGAAAACTTCTCAACCGAGTAGAAAAAATTAACAATCTCACTGGATGATTGTAATAAAGGATCTCTTGTATTTTGCAATCCCCTAGATCAGCCTAGAGAAATATAAATATAAATTAGTTGCTGTTATATATTGTATTCATAAACGGCATTATTCATAGAAGAACGTAAACTGCATCAAACCATAACAGATCAATGTGAGTGACTGTACTTAAAGTTTTTCCGTAATTGGCCAATTAAAAAACAGATGCTACTTATCTTGGACCATTGTCAATATGTGATTCCCATGTTAGCTTGGATTCAAGCGTTACAGCAAAGTATTTGAACAAGATGGTTCTAGATCAGAAGTTCATCATGGCTCTAAATCACAAAAGTGATATCCACATTATGGAACTAATACAATGGAGTATATCTACTAATTGTAAAACTTATAATTGGATTGCAATAGAAAAAGTGTTTACTCTTAATAATTGATTTATAGTAGCATCCTGATCGGTATGTGAAAATTTAAATCGTCGATTTTGGTGGTATCAAATTATAATATTATAAAAATATGTGTGACTACTTTTAACACGTTGACTGTCGTTGTTACTTTATAGCAAAAAGTACTTTTTTAATATATCCAATGTCTTTGTTAATAATAGTAGCGCTAGTACCATTGAAATTATTATCTTGGATAGCAATGGCGTTAAATATTTATTTATTCTCCAAACCGAAATTGCAACTAACGAAAAAATTGTACAGTGGTATTAATAAATAAAAAAGATTAATACGTTAGCCAAATAATATACATTTTTGATTGTAATAAAATATTTTGCATATTTTATTTGTTTTATTTTACAATTTTTGTTGCCTATTTTAATTTCATTATTCTATTGTGCAAAACATTTTTTATGAAAATTAGGATTTTATCCAAAATGAAAGACATCATTATAACCACAATGAAAAATAAATAGAAATGAGCTTAACATGTAACAACTATGGAAAGTAGTATGTATATCACAGGTGTGTTCACGGGGGAACAAAACATTACAGCGTAAACCGTGAGTATAAAAGAAAGCGAAGCCGTGCAATGATCAAATGGAACGATAAAATCAAAAAACGACAGGCAAAAGATGGGTGAACACGTTATGAACAGGTATGTCCAAAGATGGATCAACAAAAACACTTAATAAAGAAGAAGGGGAGATCTCGTGCAATCTAGATACGTTGGCATTGAAAGATATTCAAAGAGTCATACAATTCATGGGCTGTGACAAGAAAGGAATCAACGAAAAATGTTTAAATCATCATCGGTTCATCATGATATCAAGTGTATAAAGATGGTTACTGGAGAGATGCATGGAAATCTAAGACCTTGAAGAAAAACAAGATACTGTGAGTATGCATAAGACAATTAAAGAAACAGTCGGTTGGTTCAAAAACAAAATATCTTAAATATTAACAGATGAAGAATGAAAGACTATGGGAAACAGAGAAGAAGGTACAAAGATGGAAGGAATATTTGGAAGAATTATATTCCAGCAATGTAATATCACAGGAAGAGGTTGAACTAGGGGCGGAGAGAACTCAAATCTCAACAGCAGAAGTAGCTAGAGCCATCCAAAGAACAAAATATAATAAAGCTCCGGGTCCTGATAAAATACATAGAGAAATCTTAAAACTACTAGAAAATATCTATATCGACCCTATATAAAACCAATTCAACATCATTTTCTAGACAGGAAAGTTTCCCGATCATTGGTTGCTCTTTATATTCATTACACTATCAAAGAAAAAATCTCCCAAAAAATGCGAGAACTACAAAACCATAAGTCGGATTAGACATATGTTAAAGATCCTTCGATGCGTTGTAAATTATAAAATATATCCAATTATTGAATAGCAGCTGGACGAATTTCAGTATGGATTTAGAAATGGACTTGGAACTAGTGCAGCGCTATTTAATATCCACGTGTTAATTCAAAGATCTAGGGAGGTAAATAATAATATATTTGTTTACTTTCCAGTTTACTAACAGGCTTTTGAATAAGTAAACCACAGTAACTTATCGATATTCTCAGAAAAGCAGGTATACAATAATTTATTGACCGTTATATTCGGAAATATTTAATATCCCCAGAGGAGTTCCACAAGGTTGTGTTTTGCGACCCTTATTGTTCAATATTTGCTCTGAAAATGTTTCGTAAAGAATAGGTCAGCATTATTATTTTGGTTATGCTAAGAAAAATGTTAAATACCACATTTTACATTGTATTATGTTGGGTAAATTAAAAGAAAGCAGAGGACCGGGATCAAATCTGTATGTGAACCAAATGAGAATTGAACGAGTCTGACAATACAACTACTTAGGAACTATAATCAATGAGTCGTGGGACAATACCCAACAGATTAAATTTCGTATCGGAAATGCATTTTACAAGGTAAAATTGAAAGAAAAAGGGCCCCATGACGAATAAGAACATCCTGGCTTGCTAACCTGAGAGCGTGGTATAGAAAGACCTCAACACAGCTATTTCGTATAGCAGCCAACAAAGTCATCATAGCCAGAATGATCGCCAATGTTTGGAACGGATAGGCACCCTAAGAAGAAGAAGAAGAGGACCGGGTGGACGACGAATCTCTTGGTTGAGAAAACTGAGACAGTGCACGGCTAAAATAAGGGAATATGGCACGGGAAGACGAAGAATTTAGAATACGTGACCTAAATAGCCCAGAGAAATTTAATAAGATCTACTATTTCGATATAGAATAGAAATTTTACTTTAGTTAGCGATTTGAGCTTAACGTTTACATATAAAACGATAATGCTAGCATTAGAGAAAACTTTCAGTTGGTCACTAGGCTTCTTGGAATATATTATACAAAGTAGTGTAATACAACTGGAACATTCAGATAAATAACTTGTTTACACATACTTACTTGAAATATATTTTATTAAAATTTAAATTGTAAACTTTTTTTTTTAAATAACTGACCTCATTAGGAAGCTTTTTATGCAATTTTTTTTTATGTAATTAAAACATGTTGACGATGTTTTGAACCCTTAAATATAAGTGTAAAAATGAGTTAATATTCTTAAATTTATTTAGAACATAATTCTCAATGGTTTTTCTGATTATTAGTTCTGTTAATTTTTGATGTCTCTTGTCTGTCACTTATCACTTTGAATGTCAACAAGATTTAAATTTTTCTTCAGGAAGAAAAAGAACTGACCGATATGGAAGTGAACCTTCACAGAACCCGCAGTCTTCTGGGAGAAAAAGTAATTCGTTTACGTCATCTTGAACAATCTTTACAACGAGCTAACGTACAAAATGATCAGAATCACGAAGACGCCACTTTAAGTGATATTTCATCGCACAGCGCAAGCTCAGGTATAGTCAGTAGTTTGAATGGAAGTTTTCTATCTAAGCATGAACCAAGTTACCAATTCTCATTCTCAATTCTCATAGGCAACGGCTATACTACACTGAATTTACCGGTTCTCGTTCGATCACCGAAGACAAGCAGTATCGGGTGCGGTTAGTATTTGGATTGATGACTGCTTGGAAACACCGCATGTTGTTGCCTTCCTTTAAAGAGGATTGCAGGGATAAATTGCCTCACGCTAGTCTGCAATTGATTCAGTTAGGAAACCATGTTGTAGTTCTTGTACCTAGGACTCCCACGTGAAGAGTATTTGCTAATAATGTGCCCCTATCGCGCATTAGAGTGTTAAAGGGGAGAAAGGAATAGTCTGGAGCATTGAAACGCCGTGTAATGATTCATGTTTTATACACGAATTAATAAACCTCGCTTCAATGAATTGTTACACCCGAACGTCATTTTAAGGGGTGAAAAAGTCTCAGGCTGGGATAAATTAAATTGCTTGCTTGCAATTTAATTACTTGCAAAGTTGAT